GGCCTGTGTTGCATAAGAAAGCAGGCTGATCAGGGGCCAGGGGAGCAAGCCAGTAAGCAGTGTTCCTCCATGGCCTGTGCTCCAGCTCCTGCTTCCAGGTTCCTGCCCTGAGTTCCTACCTTGGGCTCTCTGATGAACTGTGACCTGGGAGATGTAAGCTGAATAAATCCTTTCCTCCCTGAGTTGGAAGTGGTCAGTGTGTTTTGTCACAGCAATGAAGAAACAAACTAGAACAGCCAGGAATGTTGGTGCATGTCTGTAATACCAGCATTTGGGGAGTACAGATAGGAGGGTCAGGAGTTCAAAGTCAGCCTCTGCTAATTATGAGTTTGAGTCCAGCTGAAGCTTCATAAGGCAGTATCAGATATGGAAGGAAGATGGTGGATCAGGCTTCCCTAACCAGAATGCCCGGTGTGTGCCAGCTGCCACAGTCACATAGCAGTTGTTTCTAGGGCCATGCCCTAGAGAACAGATTGCAGGAGGGGCCTTTTGAGATCATTTATTTTCCCATCCTACTTAACCAACCAAAATGTTTGTTCCTCATTTATGTAACATTTTCACCATGGGTTCAAAATACACTCAGTTCCCAGAGCCTGTGAGACGCCTAGTTCGTCAAGAGTCCCATATAGCTTCCAGGTCTGTACCACTTGAGTGTCTCCATCACTAAGAAGGAAAAGAATGAGAGGAGAGAATCTCCCACAGCTGGGGAAACAACCTCCCTCAGGGGCTGTGCAGCACACCATGTATGTGCACAGAAGAAGAAAGGGATATTGCTGAACACTGATGAGGTCCAGCCTGTTAGGTCTTTGCTAAGGGGTGTGTACATACCAATCATCTGTGGAAAGAGCTTGCCATTCCATAAGCTACCTTGGCAACAGTCTAGTAAGAGTTGGTGAAGACAGGGCTGAAAAGATGGCTCAGCGGTTAAAATCTCTTGCTGCACAATTATGAGGACTTGAGTTTGGATACCAGCATCCACACAGCAAGCCCAGCATCTTGCCAACACCCGTAACTGCAGCCCCAGTGATCCACACCCTTTTCTGGGTTCCATGCACACAAATGTGCACATACCACACACACACACTGATGGTTTGAGTGAAAATGTCCCCCATAGGCTCCAAGCATTTGGACATTTTGTCCCCAGATGATGGCGCTGTTTTGGGAGGCTTTAGAAGGTGTGGCTATCAGTGGGGTGAGCTTAGAGAGTTCTTAAGCCTTGCCAGATCTCCAGTTGCTCTCTTGCTTCCTGTGCCTGCGTGATGATGTGAGAGCTTAGCTTCTGCTGCTCCTGCTCCAGCCACCTCCAGCCACCATGCCTCCCTGTCATGACAGCTGTAATTCCCCTGGAACCATAAGCTCAAATAAACTCTTCTTCTATAAATTGCTTATCTCAGTGTTTCTATCACAGCAACAGAAAAGTGATGAATACACACACACACACACACGGGGTATGCACCCATGCAGACACATATAAATCTTTTAAAAATAAAAGGTTGGTGAGGACATAGAGAGGGAACCTCAATGTAATACTAGGGAGTGCCATAATTAAAGCTATTTCCCTCATCTGCATTTCCCCAGAAGTAAGGAAATGGCTTAACTCAGCTAGTACTTATTGGACATTTGAATTTTCTGTAAATTGCCAGTTTTCCATTTGCTAATAATCTATTTATTTTAAATCTTCAGAGTATAATAGACTCCCTTAAAAATCCACAAGGCAAAAGAAATTCTCTTTAGGCTTTGTACCTAAATCATGTGAACCATCAGTGAGCCTGTGCTATTCCTGTTTGACTTAAATTCACTAGAGGTACCGGTTTGTAGAGCAGGGCACTTTTCCCACCACACCCAGTGACCTCAGTGGAGATGTCCGTGGTTGTTTCACCTGCCTTTATGCCTGGCCTTGCAAGAAAGTTGTGCTTTATTTTAGAAAGCCTTCCCTACATTTAAGGGAGTCTTTAGCATTCAATTTCATATTAGAAACAATACCCACTGTTAGGGAGTCCAGGCTTCATTGCCTAGATGTCCGTTATCACCTCCCTGAACCCAGTTCATATTTGTGTTGATCTATGGCTGGATCTCTGTGAGTTGGTGGTGGATGCCTGAATATAGACAGCCTGACTCTTGGAGTTGTTTAAACCAGATCTCAGAACTGTTCCTTCCAATTTCTCCCAGAACTCTTCTTCCAACCAAAGGTGTCCTCTGTTTAACAGTACATGCAGCCATGCAAGCATGACAAAATGAGGAACTTTGTCTTATCAGCAAAGACTTTTCCTTGTCTGACCCCCTACTGACCCAGAACAGCATACAAAACCACAAGAAGATGTTATCAATCTAATCCCAATTGTTGTTTACAACATTAGCTGTGGACAATCTCTCTGCCTTCGGAACTAATATTTTCATAGTACATGTTATGCTTGGCAGGGTAAGGAAGGGCCATGAGGGCAAAATAGGGAACACTATCTAAGATTAAATCTGTGTGTTTACCTTAGCTTGTAAAAGTTGACTACAAGGAGCCCAAGGCCTAGTAAGATTGTTTACATTGTTTTCCTGA